TGCAACGGAGACAGTTTTGAACAACTCTCTGGCTACACCAACTCTAACATCTATGCCAACGCTGTTACAGCTCTACAACTGCTGTGTCTTCATCCTCCTCCACTGCTGTATCTGCCTCCTCAGCCGCTTTGTGTGCCTCCTCCTCAGCCGCTGTGTCCACCTCCTCTACAACTGCTGTGTCTACCTCCTCCTCATTCCCTGTATGTGTCTCCTCATCGGCCGCTATGTCTGCCACCTCCGCTGCGTTTTCAAGGTTCTCCATATAAATAGTCCCATTGCTCATACTGTATTTTACCTTAGTTTTATCAAGTATTTGTTTCTTCATAGAAAAAAATATCTGCCTCTTCTTTATTTACGAACATGTCTTGTAGCCAACATAAGAATTATATTTGTGAATTTGAGTAATATGTATAAAAAGAACCTCCTGAATGACTATCATGTTTTAAATGCGATTATATCAAACATGATTATTAATGTATTGGATTTGTCTATGCACTGAAACACTATAGAGTGTGGAGGCTTAGCTGGCCAAAGTACAGTTCCGTGGGTAAGAACTCACCATTTATCACCATAAACAGAGGTGTGTTGAGATAACCCCGGGATGGCACGAGAGTTGGGAAGGATGAGCAGCCTACCGGATCGATGACGGAAACGACTTTGGAAACGGCTAGGACCAAGAGAATTGAAACAGCAGCAATGTTTAAATGTGCGGCAATGTGTGCAAAAACGAAAAAAGAGTACGAATCCATCAAGGAAAAAGTGGCTGTCAACCAACTCCAAGTCAGCAAAAGGAGGAAGTGGCCCAGGAATCAAACAGAATCAAATAGCGACCACATTGTATATGCAAATGCATTAAACCCGTTCCAATTCACATTCGAATTGCTTGAAAAGAAGACATCAGGATGGCTGCCGAATTCTTTTTGAAAAGGAAGTATAGTGATCGAGAAAGGATTGAAGATATGGGAGAGTGCGGAAAGCTGGCATCAACAAAACCACCAGCGCAGCTATTTGAAGAGAAGGAAACAACCTAAACATTGGTAAATGAAGTGATGAGAAAGGCAAGAGCAGCATGATCTCCTGGATCTAATGTAATACGTTATAAGGTATACAAGAACTGTACCAGGCTTACAAAGAGCCTATAGAGGATGTTGTAATTTGGCGAATGGGAAATTGATAGAGCAATCTGCGGAAGGGTTGAAGTGACATATCACAGTTTTGAACAATTTCGCTTCTCAATGTCAAAAGGCAAGATGTGTCTACCGGTCCATGCAAAAAAAAACTATCAACTACCTACTGTGCAATATGTACATTGATATCGCAGTTCGAAAAGGAAGAGAGCCTGGAATACCGAGCTGTCTGGAGCATACAAATGTGATATCATAGATCATTAGAGATGCCAGGGAGAACAAAGAAAAACTAGCTGTGGTTTGACTCGATCTGGCAAACGCTTATGGATCATTGCCACATTAGCTGGTGGACCAGGGAGGTTCAGAGAGATGTTGAAGGGATATTTCGACTGAGGTTCACAGTAGAGGGCCGAGAGACGAAATGGAAGAGACTTGAGGTTGGGATAGTGACAGCTGTACTATCTCAGCAGTAGCGATGAATTTTATTGTCAAATCAGAGGAGAAGATGAACAGAGGATCTAACTTTTCAATAAGGCAACCACCAACAAGGGTATTTATGGTTGACATGACGTAAACAACAAAAACAGTCAGTGAAGGAAAATTGTTACTGAAAGATCTGGATGAGATTGTCCATTGGACACGAGTGAAGTTTAAACCAGCGAGGTCAGGGAGTATGGTGCTGAAGAAGAGAAAGGTACAGCAAGTGAAGTTTAAGATCCAAGAAGAGAGATACAAAATGTGACCGAGAAACCAGTAAAATGTTAGGGAAAAGGTACGACGACACACTCAAGGACCATTACAACGTGGCTGGATGAGTGCAGTAGATAAGAGAAAGCTTGGATATGTTAGTACGGAGTGCTCCCGATGCTAATATGGCCTCTGATGATATACGAGGTCCCTCTTACAGCAGTGGAAGAAATAGAGGGCATGGTCAACAAGCATCTTAGCAGATGGCTTGGAGTTCTCCGTAGCAAATTTACATGATTGTATTGCATACCATATCAGAAAATCTGGAAACTTGTCTGACAGATATCAGTACGTGGATGAACGCAAGCATGTTTAAGCTTAATCAGGTAAGGACGGAACTAATCGTCCTCCCCCAAGGTGTCGCCAAATAATAGCTCTCCAGCTCAAGGTTGGTGCCAGAATTATAAAGGCTGTCACAGCTGTCAAAAACATATGTGTATGGGTATACTTTGATAGTTCACTGAACATTCAGAAACAAGTGAACGCTATTGCCAACTCCTGTTACTACCAGATCAGGAACATCGGCTGTATCCGGCAGTGTATAACTGCAGACGCATGCAAGACTTTGGTGCATTCACTTGTTCCTCTCGGTTGGACTATGGTACTGCCCTGCTCTTCGGTATATCTGACTAACTAACTAGTCGTTTGCAAAGGGCCCAGAACACTGTAGCACGTCTGTTTACTTGTACTCGAAAGAGAGAGCACATCATACCATAACTGCGATACGACGAGACATTTTGTTATATACTGCGTCGTGGCAGTGGAGGCCGGTATTAATATTAGTACTAATTATACCAGTGCTATATTCATTGCACTAGTTACCTGTGCGATACAGGTCGCAGTACAAACTTTTTGTGTACACGTGGCACTGATGGAACAGCTCCCCTGTAGTTACAGGAGCTTGTTACCATGTTTCAGCCGTCACGATCACTGCAGTCGGAGACAGAATCCTTGTGCCCCAAAATCTCCTACTGTGACATATGGATACCAGTGCTTTGAAAGGATTTTGGCCATGTTGTGGAATAGCTTCCCATCTGCTACCAGGAAGTCAAAAACTCTGGCTAAATTCAAGAAAGATGTAAAGACCCAACTGTTTACGTCTGCATTTTTGGCTCTTTTGCGCATACATCATGTACACACCATCCTGTATATACATTTATTTACATGTATGTATGGCAGTGTCTTTTGACCTGATGTAAAATGCTGATTTGTGTGTCTTTTTTATCTACTTTATTTATAACTGTCACTATAGGAATACTATTATCCGTGTGCTGTAAAGCGCCTCGAGTAATTTTGCAAATTATTAATGGCAGTATACAAATGTTGTATATTATTAATAATCATCATTATAGTCAGCATTTAAGTTTTGTTCAGGCACGTCTTGGCTTCTTGATATGCACGTGACAAATATTCCCCGAGGTCAGTCTCAATTCAGATCTTATTGTGTCACTTTTTTCAGATTCAGCTAGTTGAAATGGTTAAACCTGATAGCGAAAAAGAACCCAAATTACACGATCACAGTGCGATTCAGTTTGTATCTTAAACCAAGCTTTCATTTTGTAGAAACTGTATGTTAACCAATCCTGTATGAGTCAAAAGACAATGGATCCCAAAACATTCTTAAGTGGCTCATTTAAATCTAACTGGTTTTAAAACTCAAAACCACTTTGCGTTTTACCTCAAATCTGGGTTTTGTTGGATAAACAGACCAACTAGCCAATCGAATAAAACATTTCTTCGTGTGACTCAACCTAGCATATGATATAGGGGGGTTTCCCCAGCGAATCTCAATTGATCTTAAATGGCTCTGCAACAAAATAAGAAAATTTTCAGTGATGTCATCCACTTGAAATTCTGCACTGTGTAGCACAAAAATACAACAATAGTAAGGTGTAAGTTTTGTTTGAAGACATGAATGACTTTTGTTTAATGACAAAATATTCTGATTTCATGATTATAGAGAATTAGACAAGTTGCTAACAGTACTTGCTGCTGACAGGTTGTGCAACTCTCAGTGAAACATCACCAAAGGCCAATAACTCTAACAAGGTAACTTCACATTTCATTTGGACATACACAGGCATATAGGTAGTGTTAAATCCTTGATTTTTTTTTAAATGGTTATGAGTTAATGTCACGTAGCTCTTTGCTCCATTTTAAACATAACCTAGTCAAAACAAGATCAGAAAACTGATTCATACTGTAATGAATGATCAAATAACCAACAGATGATTTATTGGAGACCAAACAAACGGTGACATATATGCAGTTTATTTTAAAGCCAACAAAAACGGATAATTTTAGAAATTTGAGTGAACCAAAACAGAGTTTAACCAATTAATAGACCCAGATTTTATAGCACCTTCAATTCTCACAAATAAGCAACAGTTACCTATTAATGTGACACAGAACTCCCCAACAGTATGAGGTATTACTACTAACTACTACACAACAAAGTTATATGATTACAGATATCATACATGCTAACAACTATTTTACAATTATTCTGATCCATGAATATTGAATTTTGACCATTACTGTATGTAGAACCTTGTTTTTATTAACAGGATTTTCTTAATGTACATTGAAATAAACTTTTTAACAACCAAAAGTTACCTTGACTCAAATTATTATTTAAATAACTCCTATTATTTTGATATTGAGAATTGACTGTAATATAAAGTAACCCAGTCAGAGGTAAAAAAAACCTTTCTTATTCTTGAATAACTTTTTGTTTGTAAATTGGTTGCTTTCTGAAAGATTCTATTCTGCAGAGTTTAATGGGAGCTGCTTCAAGCACTGAGGAATGGACTAGTTTATTGGTAAATGTTATCTGATATTTTCTTGAATAAGTAAATGCTGCTTTTTAGAAAATATAGTCAAATAATTAGTCCCAACCTTTGTGAAAAACTCGCCTCTGTTATAGCTAAAATAGTTTTTAACAGTGTATAGTCATCTTCAACCTCAACATATCTGTAATATATCTAAAACAACAAAACAATCAACAATAATCTAGTTATATATATATATATATATCTATATACTGAAATAATAAAAATTAAGGACCAATATTTACAATTTTACAAAACTTTTCAAACACATTCATATATCATTATTGCACATTGAAATAATTAATTAGGATAAAAATTACAAATGTAAAGCTAGAAATATTTCTGTAACTGGCAAATAAAAATTGAAAATGGTACAAAACAGATTTCAATGAGCTATTTTTATGTTATCTTCTTACTGACCCCTTAGTCCATTATGTGTTAAGTTCCACATAATTCAGAAACCTTTAACTGTATTTTTAATTACCTTTCTCTGTGTAAGCTTAACTAAAATTTAATATGAAAGGTCTGTGAGCTAGTACATTGTTCCCAATCTATGGCATCCTTCAATTTTCGTTCTGGCATTTTCTAGCACACATTTTTCTGCAGATATTCTTAGTTACTTTACATTTCCTTGCAAATAAACCTGTCTCATCCTCTAGGACTAATTTCCTGTCTCCTCTAGGATTAATTTCCTGTCTCCTCTAGGATTAATTTCCTGTCAAAACCCTGTTTGCTCTCAAAGATGTAAACATAATTAATTAAGCTACATGTATGGATAATGTAACAGGAGTCTATCTTTAATAAAACATTTATTTCATGTTGGGTTAAATTGGAAAAAACCTATCCACAGTTTCAAAACTCAGAATTTACTGATTTTTTTTTAATATCTAAAAAAATAAGAATTAAAAGAAGAATAAAATATTTTCATAAACTGAAAACTTGGATCAAAAGTAGCATATTCGCAATAAAAAATCTAAATAAGAATAAAAAAAGTTACAAATAACAAGGAATTTGTCTCTATTACTGGAGTAATGATGAGGAAAACTTATAACCTAGAACAAGTTGGCACAAAACGTGTGTACTGTATAGACAGCACTAACATGAGTAATAGAATCAGTATTAAAATTAAAAGATTGTGATAAAATCAAACATATTCAATCTAAGAACATGTTACATTCTAACAGACTTATACCAGTACAGGTATTTAGTATTTTTAGTATACATAGATTCAATTAAAGGTATCTGCAATGTAACACATGCTGTAAAACTATTTCCAAATAAAAATGTCTCAATCATTTTTTTTGTACATGATTTCGAAAAATTCTCTCACAAAACAGCAGAGATTATATAAAGCATTATCTTCCTTATTTGTAGTACAGGAAACAAGGATTCTTACTATTGAACTAATAAAATACAGTCATTTGTGTACATACCAGACTGTCCGATCTAGATTCTTGTCTAGACCAAATAGTTTTATTCAGACAGTGACAAGGTTCAACTAGGTGACTCTCTACACTCTGAAACTCTCTACAAAGCGATTAAGACAACGAAAATGACTTATATGATACATTTAGTCATTTTCTTCTTTGTTTCCGAGTTAAAACTTGACGGATTTCATACCTAAAATGGGTAAACAATGTCATTTGATATGCATTCTAAATGAAAAGGATGAAAAATTACCCAAATTATCTCTTAATAAAAGATTAAAAGATCGTTTTGATTCTGTATAGATTTTGTAACATTATTTTGGTGCTAGGAATGTATTACGTTTGCTTTCTGACAACCATCAACAACATAGTAGCGCCAAAATGAACTGTAATTGAAATAAAAATAACATTGATTTCACGATGTTTCTTGTTAGTCTTATTGGATCTTAGTCAGTATATATAGCGAATTATCAGACACTTATACTGTAATCATCTAAAAGTCGATTTGTATCCGATATCTAACAAACCACCGATTTATCTAAAAATAACTAGGTTTTCTAAAAAATAACATGGCATAAAACTATTCTAAAAAAGAGATGATCAATTTCGTTCATGTAAAAAAAACAATGTACAATACAGTATTAAAGAGTACACCCCATTTATAACCTACTTTGTTTCCTGACAAATAGTTATGTGGTTTAAGTATTGAAACACATGGCACTGAACATCATATCCTAACTTAACATGTCTGATTTAAATAACAGCTGGAGCAAATCAGGATGGAAGCTTCAGTTATAATACTCACATTATTAAATAGTGAGGTACATGGATTACATAAACAAACTTGATATAGACATATGTAGGTTTTCCTTCACATAAACAACTAGTACAGTAAGCATACATAATCAGTTAACAATCAGACGTCAGATGAAGAGGCGTTTTATCTATTGAGCCCCCAACCCCTGTGACAAAGTTAAATTATACATTGTATCGGAATGATCTTTGATGTTTGTTTCTGTAACAATGTTCATACATCTGTAAAGATGTAATAATAAGTGAAGATACTGGTATTTAAATACTTAAAAATACTGTTTGATCTTAAGCTTCAGATCATATCAATATCATAAAAGCTTGAAATGTTATGGTTTTTAGCCTATATGTAATAGTATTTGACATCTGATGACTGACCACCAAACCCTAAAATAACCACTGATGAATACAAGAGTCTTAGTGACTCTGATAACTGATCACTAGGACCTAGAATAACCACTGATGAATACAAGAGTCTTAGCGACTCTGATAACTGACCACTAGGACCTAAAATAACCACTGACAAATACAAGAGTAATAGTAACCCTGGTGACTGACCATTTGGACCTTAAATAACCACTGGTGAATACAAGAGTCTGTGTGACTCTGATGACTGACCACTAGGACCTAGAATAACCACTGATGAATACAAGAGTCTTAGTGACTCTTAACGACTGACCTTCTGGATCTATATAGTCATGGTAATTACATGGTTAAGCTTAACTCCTAAACATACAAGGATCAAGTCTGCTTGTGTACCAGGCTATCCAAGACATTTTTCAAATCTTCAACAAGGACTATTTCGCAAACTACCAACAAAGGTGTACATTTGGTAAAACGCTAACAAATAATATAATGCTGACATAACAAATCAATAAACTTAGGTTAGCATGACAATCACATCATTAACGATGACAACTGTGCCCTTATAAAACTTGTCTGCTGCCCAGACCTGGGACAGATTTCTCACTCTTTCTTCTGTCTCGCAGCTTCCTGTCTCGCAGCTTCTCGATCTGCTACATCGATGGCTGCGATGTTTTTACAAGCTGCCCCAAGCTGTAGACAACTAATGAAAGTCTTCACAGCTGCCAAGGGTGCGGTCAAGTAAAGAATGATCTGCCACAATCCAAGGGAGAAGAAGCCGATTCCCACTACAAACAGCAAGATTTTATCAGTCAATAGCACCATCAGTGTATAAAATATATATAACAAAAACATAGAGAAATATAAATAAGAATTACCATATCTCAGGTTATTTATGCATGATGTAAATTTTGTAAATTTGCTCAAAATCAAAATGTGTTTAAGCGAAATTCTTCCTGATTCATTAAAGAGTTAATAGAAAAGCTCTGATTTTAACAGACATTATGAAAATTTAGGCAACCCTCTTGGTATAAATAGATCACTAAACATATCGATATGCTGTTCATTAAATTTGACTCCAAATCATCTCATCACCTCAATAGCATGATTCAATCCTTTACAAAGCCCAGTACCAAATGTCTTGAGAACAAATTTACTGGAGTGTATGCATGCCATGGGTTAATCAGTAAGTTTTTGTTTCATGTTGACTTTCTCTATCATTTACTGACACAACACCAAAATATAGGGCCAATGATCACGAAGAATTGCCATTGTTTTCTTCAACTGTGTCACACAATGTAGCTTTAGCCTGCAGACATATAACCACAGCATAGTACTCTAGGGAATGACCATTACAACTTGATAAACAAACTAGGCTCGCATAACACACTGCCCCTGGACACATACATCACACACTGATTTATATTGATGTCACCCTGGGGTGTTATGTAAACATCTCCTTACAATATGACAGGTGACTGAGTGCTACAGAGTGAGACATCAATGTTTAAACAACGCTGTATGGCTTGTTAACTGTCAAAGACACTTTTATATTGCTCTTATTTTGTTGTGATGTAAATATCAAAGAATTAATCTCTATTCCACCAATGGATCCAATATCTGAAGAAGAAATACTGACACACACGTTCACACATTGTGATGGAAGCAAACTATAAATGGCATAATGGAACTGCTTACAAATGATTAGGTACATTTCAACAATACCTTATGCTGCAACAATAACATTATAAAGGGAGGTAACTCTTACATGCTGGCCCCGCAGAGAAGTGGGTCAAATACAACATGCAGAAGAAGAGCTCATTGGCAGAGCACATCACAAATAGGATTTTCTGCAATGGAAAGAGCATTCTCAAATTAACTTTCATATTGAGAGCAATAAATTCAATAATTTCATAAACTAATCCTTAACTCATAATCACTAGCATTGTAATTATATCATATCATAAGTTTTCAGTACACCTGGAACATTTATTAAAAGTTCGGTTAAGAGTTGGTACTTTTGTTGACATCATAGGTATTGAAATGTTTTGCATATACTATGTATTTTTCCCAAAAGGAATTAGAACATTCTTTATATAAACTTCATTTATTTTACAACAATTATGAAACAAGTTATTTCAACTTGAGTACCTGGCGAAAACCCACGTTGTCGGGCAGGTGACCCCAACCTTTTCACTTCCAATTTGGGAATAGAACCCTGGCCGCCTTGGTGAAAGGCAAGAGCGCTATACACTGCACCACCGACCACCCATAAACATTCTTTGTTTTAGGAATACCTGTCAATACACACCTGCTAGGTACAAATGCAAGTAAACATACCCGGTTATGGTAGTAATGCCTTAAGATTGGATTGGCTGACAGATCCAGAACCTTGTGGCTACCTGCTCCCTTCATCAGTGTGCTGCAAACAGTATCACAGCAAAAATTTCAAAATGTGGGTTTAAAAAGCAACTATGGACGGTAGACTCCACTATAAACACAAGTATCTATGTGATGTCTTATTTTATAGTCTTGGTTTTACTGCCACAAATAATCTTGACACAATAAGATGCTGCTGTATTTACAGATGGAGCATGTGTGTACCTCTGTAGGTGGAACCAGTGACTGGTGATGTCCAGGGCCATATAGAACTGGAAAAACATGAGATAATCTGGATAGAAATAGCACAGAGCTCCACACAGACACATGGTCGCACAGCGGTCAATCAGCTGGTCCAGCAATGCTCCAAGCTTACTGGCTGTAACAAACAAATCACAAATTATCTCTGTACATTTTAGATAAAAACATATAAATCCATTTAATTTACACACAGTTGTGCGAGATGATACACTAAATCATGTAACATGCAAAAATTAAACTTTCATATTACATTGCATGAACTAAATGTGTATTCGATGAAAATTTTCATATTTAGAGTATGTGTACAAGTTTATATATTTGACAAATACATAGATCCTATCTTACTGATTGTGTGAAGCTATATGCCTAATAGCATCCCATTATCCAATAATAACTATAAAACAAAAACTATCCAGAATATTGACTGTAACAAAACTATACAGCTTATTGTGACTGTACACAAAACCATACACTTAGGGTATTGATGAAACACAAATAATTCAGCTTATCTTCAATAAGTCTCTACAATTTACAGAACTGACTTACACTGGTCAAGCAGTCTCGCAAGGTGGCCATCAATGGCATCAAGGAAGCCACTGAGTAAGTACCAGAATGAGGCTTTCCATGGATCAAAGGGCATGTAGTAAAAGGACACGAAAGCTGTGATCACTCGTAGGTAATCTGTTGGCAAAAAAACATATCTCGATATTGTTCTTATGGGATTAGCTAATCAGGACTTTCATATCACTTTTAGGCTAAGAGTCTCAGCATTTTTTAACAATAAATGCCAAATAACAATTTTCCTGAAATTTTGAGGGTCAAAACTAGTGTCAAAGTGACATACTTTAATTTTAAACCAAGGAGTCACTGAATTGTCCAAGGGGAAGTCCAAAACACACTTTATCATGGGTTTACCTAAAGCCCTGCAACTTACAAATAAGTTTCTAAACATTTCCTTCTTGTTGGTTAGTATGGATTATGAAAAGTTCTTTTTACACAACCAAAGAAATTTTCTATGTCATGTTTCGATAACTAGTACGCATATAGTAAGCATAGCCGAATTGAGACATTTCGGTACATATATAACAACTATTGTACAAATGCTTACAGCATAGCCGAATTGACATCGATTTTGTGGACAAGGTATTCACATTTTATACCTTTATTTGCATACGTTTCACTGGTCATTTGTCTGATGAAGGTGACAGTGTACAAATCATACTAGTCATCACAATGTCACATAGAAAATGTTATTGGTTGTGTAAAAAGAACTTTTCATAATTAATGATAATAATTACAAATAAGTTGTGTAACAAAACTATTTGGTCGAGTTAATGTAAAATAATAATTACACAACTTTATGATTAGTTATCTAATATCAAACTGATTTATTTTAATTTATAATCACAAATATTTTGAATAAAAATCATATGAAAACTAATTATGCCATGACGCACTAGCTAAACATCTTTGGATTTATTGTATGAATAATTCATGTACTGTGTAATAAAAAAAAAATCCTCAAACTTGAATAATGCACTTTTATCAAGCATTTCTAAATCTGTAACACATTAAAAGTTTGGTCGTTGGTACATGTACTGTACATTTAACCATTAATACATTTGCAAATTGAATGCTTCACGTGAAATTTGGCAAAGTGATATTCCTCAACTTTCACTAAATACCCCTATAGGCATATGTTTACACTGTTGCTTACAAGTTACAAAAAAAAGATAAGCTATACAGCCTTGGGCAAAACAATCTTTGGACAATTGGACTCGATATTGTTTTATATTGTGCTATACTTAATGTATACAATGAAATCTTGATTTATTCACCAATCAAGAAAAATGACATAAATTTATTAATCAATAATGCTTAGACCAAAGAACAGAAATGAATGTACAGAACATACATTGTTTAAAAAGGAAGACGCTGAAGACTGCTTCAGAATATTGCAAATCTATACGTATATATATAAACTATACATATCTATGACAGATTTATAAACCAGATCAATCAATGAAACTAAATTTGTATTTTGATAGGACATAGTAAGATGTATTTCCTATCATACCATGAAAAAAAATCTGATTTTGTTATCTGATACCGGATGTACAAGTATGTCTTTGGTGGATCTACAGGATCATAATCTATTCTGTTTAAATGCGAGTGTATATTTAAGAATATTCACACAAATTATCAATGTTTATAACTGACTGAATGATACATATACATGGCTACTTATATAGTCATCCACGCCCTGTCATCACACAAGCTGATTACATCTGTGATAGTGTGGTAAATCGATATGTATTACAACCATGATCCTTAGGCCTATTGCCATGTCTATCACTCAAGTCGTTGAACGACTCGAATAACTCGACAAACTAAACTACGTTTTTTCTAACAAACTGCGATGGAAAACATTTAAAAACTTGTTCTAAACTCACCAACTATGTTAGGGACAAACAAGAACACGTTTTCCGTCATGGCGATTTCTAGATGTATGCGTATATCAACAAAAGAGCACACGATGCAACTTGAAGAGCTCACTGAACCTTGGCTTGTTTGGCAGACGCAGACTGATCAAACATCACTCAAACGCTTGTAGCCAACAGCTTATCATACGTAGTAGGGATGCTGTAAAGGAAGTTGTTTCACCAGAAAATAACAGTCCCTATCAATATACAAAAGACAACCAAGCATTTTTTTATCACAACTTTAGTCAAAGCTTAATCAATAATACTGTCATGCTACATAAACCTATCAGTATTTCGGTATTATAAGCGTGGCACTTGTTCTAAGCGTGTACCTGACCCAGTCATAAACGACGCGGATGTGGATCTCTAGCCTTGTGTTACACTGTAACGGATCGTGTATGACTCATTTGAGACACACACGTCTTCGTGGACACGTGTCAGACTGTTGCAATATACATATAGAATTGTATCAAAGAATTCAGAATATAGATTGTAGAAAATATTGTGTCAAGTTTTGTGTAGACTACTTATTGGAAAACAGAACAAAACTGACAATAGAATTAAATTTAAGTCTTAAGTCGTATGAATAAGAAAAACTGAACGAGAAAGAAAGTCGTATGTACGCGTGTGGACACGGACTTAGATAATCTAATTCCGTGGTGTAGACACGGACTTAGATAATCTAATTCCGTGGTGTGGATGAGAAAAAAATCGTTGGACGTACCGGCGAGATAAAAACTTAAGACGTGCGAATTAGTAAAGGTTGAATGAACGAGATAAAAAGTCGTGCGAATGACGAAAACGCGTACGTTGGACGAACGAGTTTAAATGCGTGCTGATTAGAAAAATAAAGTTGATAAAAGTCGCGTGAATGAGAAAAACGTTGTAAGAACGAGACAGAAAGTCGTGCGAATGAGAATTAAGTTGAACGAACGAAATAAAAAGTCGTACATCTTCCTTCCCTAATTCCTTTCTCTGCATCACATTATTTTACGACTCACGCTTTAAGTATTAATCTCCAACTTTGTCATAAATACTGTATCACAAATTTATCATCATAAAAATATGTTATAAAGAGGTATGGCGGAAAACTGCCCGTATTTCCCTAAGTCGGCATTTATGAAAACGAGAAAAAAAATAAGGAGTAAAACATTTCGGGTAGCAAAAATGCATACAAAAGATACAAAACCAATTGAATATGAATTTTGAAACTGCTGAGAAATTAGGTATTGCTAATATGATACTGCAAATATAGCCATATACACTATATCTATGAAAGTGATGGGGTTTCCCGGACTTAAAAAAATACTTTCAACACTTTCCCATCTGAGGACCAACTTTTGAATAAACTTTTTGTGACCGTGATGTAATATGCAAAAAAAATCGTATTACGGAAAAGTGGTCCTCCTTTGGGAAAGTGCTCAAAATAATGAAAAACAGGGGTGATCAAGTTTCTCTAAACTGCGACCGGTGTTTCTCGGGTTAAAACAGTTTGTAATTGCCAATATCTATATGTTCTATGTAGCCGAATGTGTAGCGCAGTTTACTTGCGACTAGAAAATAAACGGTGCAGGTTCGAATCCTCCTTCAGTTATTTTGTTTTAAATATTTAGGCATGTGATCATTTTCCTTAATAAGGCAATGGTGGTTTTTTTTAAATCGATGGAAGATTTTGTTTACATTTTATTTTTGATGAAATTTATGAATTGTTTTACCCTAAAACTGGCAATAGTAATTATATCAAGTGCTTACACACCAACAAATAATGCCGAAATACCAAATATGTGGTCTGTTTACAATAATCTATTCTTAGACACGGGATTCCGATATTGCTACCTGTATAAAAAATACCTGAGGACGCGTCATAATAGTGCACGATTGGATGCGCGCACTAGCGTAACATAGCTTTGGGGAAATAGGCATAGCAACCCGCCATATCTCTTTAAAAAAAAGAGTTATATATATATATAACAAGTGTCCCTGTCATCTATATTTAGTAAGTTGAGCTAGGAGATATGGGAAGGTGTGCAATATGCCTTAAGATTGACATGGCATGACAAGTACGTACAGTTGGCTCCCGTTGGGTCTTGAAGGTTTCTCGTTGTTTCTGGGAAGGCTCCCATTGTCTCTAGGGAGGCTCTCCCAATGTCTCAAATAACCTCCAAACGTCTCTGGAAAGGCAATAATTGTCTCTTGGAGGCCTCCCATCGTCTCTAGGAGGCATCCCATTGACTATTGAAAAAATTGTCTGGAAAGACTCCAATTAAATTGTCTCATGGAGGCCTCCCATTGTCTCTTGGAGGCCTCCCATTGCCTCTAGAAAGGCTCTCATCGTCTCTAGGAGGCCTCCAATTATATATAGGAGTCCTCCCATTGACTCTTGAAAAGATTGTCTGGAAAGACTCCAATTAAATTGTCTCTAGGAGGCCTCCCATTGTCTCTAGGAGGCCTGCCATTGCCTCTAGAAAGGCTCCTATTGTCTCTAGGAGGCCTCCTATTGTCTCGAGAAAGGCTCCTATTGTCTTTAGGAGGCCTCCCATTGTCTCTGGAAAGGCTCCAATTGTCTCTTGGAGGCCTCCGATTGTTTCTAGAAAGACTCCAATTGTCTCTAGAAAATAGACTCCCATTGTCTCTGGAAAGGCTCTCATTGTCTCTAGGAGGCCTCCCATTGTCTCTTGAAAGGCTCCCGTTGTCTCCTGGAGGCCTCTCATTGTCTGTAGAAAGGCTCCTATTGTCTCAATAGTTTTCTCTTTATTTCGTAATTATTTATAGGGCTAAAATATTTTTTATTTTTATAATTTATGTTTTATTTAAGTAGCATGAAACGAAGCAAAGCCATGACTCTGTATCCAAAATAAAACTTCCTTAAAAATACACAAGTTTATTTTCTTTTGACTTAAAGAATATCAAGTTGAAATGATGCAATAATAAAGTACAAGTCGAACCATAATATACATTCAGTTCACTAAAACTACTTGATTGACTGTACTTAACTTGCACAATATCTAATATAGAACATTTAGTAACATGCCTTCGCTGTAAAGGCGTGTTAACTAGTATAGTAGTTTTAATGCATACACACCACAATTGTCTGTTTATCTGGAGTCCTAACAATGCTTAACCTTTTAACAACCAACATAGGTTTGGATTAGCATGTGTGTAGTGTTCCTTGGCCAACATATTAAACCAATTATACGTCCCCAAGTAAACATTCTACATTGTCCATGATAGACCTTATGAACGTTTCCGCTGATTGCGCAATCTCATACCGCTTCCGCACTCTTAATTTTTATTCGAACCCAAAACTCGTGTTGTGATTTGTTCTCGCTGAAAACGAGATCTCTTCTTAGAGACGAAAATTCAGGTGAATATTTTCAAAATGGCCTCATGTTAAAATGGATAGAGACGCCGAAAATGTAGCAGAGAACAGGAAGTATTGTTTTTTGCTGGGCTCTGCTATAAGGAACGAGGACCCTAATCAATTTTTTGACATTTACGACGCAATTATTCCAAAGGATCTTTCTGTCAGCCAGGTGCGGACGAGCAAAACATGTTTGTTTTTAATATGTTCCTGTCAGTTTTGCCGTTTTTCCATGCTTGTTTTCGTAAAAATAATCGTATTGTATTTAATTCTATATGGAAAAATAACTATTCATTTTTCTAAATTCTTTTCATTTCATCCCATGTGCAGTCACTCTCTGGAAATAGACATGACAAGATTTTACTGAAATAAAAATGACAGCTCAGTCATTTCATTTTGTACTGGTTATCTCCCTTGTAACGTTCTCCGAGCAGTTGTGTGGGTTTGACTTGACCCGTGTGATTTGCATTACTAAATATTCATGATCTAGTGGTCGTCTGGTTGTAGTGTCGCTTGTCCTTTATGACGTGTCTGCCTCGGCAAGGTTTTGAACGCAGTTGAGAGCATTTCCCAAAGGACCAACGAAAATGACCCTGATGCTATTTTTGTCAAGAGAATGACAGCTAAATACGAGTGGTGTTCTCTGTAGGACAGGCAGGTAGGCGGCAGTGTATCCAACATGTCTGCACCCATGTTGCCCTGCTCAAATATGGAGGAGACGTGTTTCGTTAGGTTTTACAAGGACTGACATCTCAAACGAAAGTTAACAAGTAGTGCCTCCCATTGTTTTTGCATACTAATGTGACGACTCTGGTTTTTGAAAGTTGACTGGTCTGTATTGTTGAGTTTTATTACTTTGACCAAGTTGTACAGGTAAATAAATGGCCTGGTGACCCTGTTCTGACATCTCGAGCCCATCATTCACACTGTGCTAATTGTGCGGTCAGTCATGATGTTACAATTATTATTATTTTACATTTTGAAAGGCTTAATTGTGTATCATAACATGTATCAAACAGACCAAAACAGGAAGTGAACAATGTGTATTCACTAATTCCTGTAGGAACTCTTACCTAAATCAGAGATTCACATACTCTACTACTACTGCTACCACTACAACATGCATTTATATTTTTGCACTGCACCATATTCAATAGATTTATGTTTCTACAATCCAAAGCAAATCAATTCAAGCAGAAGCAAGCTATGAACAATTCAAGATGTAGAGTGAGTAAAGCAGGTTATTTGTTTATGCCAACAATTAATGTTCTGTAAACAGATGAACGAACTGTTGAAACCTGATCTTGTTACGTCCATGTTGATCAATTAGTTACCTGTCAGGATCAAGGCAGAATAAAAGCTCAGAAGACACTTTTATCACTTCAGAAAGACACCAAGAGAATGTCAAAAACTTGTGCTTGGTATTGACCTGGATAATGCATCTAGGCGATTTTCATTTGTCTTGCTTGCACTAACAAACAATTCAAAAGTAATCATACAGCAATGTTAAAAGAGGTGGCATGATTTAAATATATATTGAATTGTATCAGTCGCATTTTAGTACAGGTTTTCCAACACAAGGAAAAAGATCTGATGCGGTTAATTTTGTGTCGCCTGTAAAGCAAAGATGACATATATTATCAGCCTGCTGGCAACATCACCACCATTTGCACAAATGGCTTCCTTACAATAATTCTTTAAGGAATGTTTTGTTCTTTATTAAAACATATACATGTACCTATAGAATCAATTACCAGCTCAATGAACGAAAACTGAAAATCAACATGGGCATCAGCGTCCATCTTATATAGGTCAGTGATTTGTTTTGCCTTGTTTTACAGCTGAATACAGGCTGCTTCTCCCTAGCTAAAAGAGCTTTATTTTCCCCATAAGAAGAAACCTCAGGAATTTCTTCCATTTTCAATAGAAATAATGGTATATTGGCCCAATTCATGAAGGAACAGGCTGTCGTAAAATTAAGGTTGAAAATCACTGTAGATTTTGCTCAGGGTTACTCTTCAAAAAGCCTTGAAGGAATCCTTTTATTTTCATGAAGCTTTCTACATATACCTATGATATCAATTAGCCTCTCAAATATTATTTTGACCCTTATCTGAAAATCAACATGACAACCAGCATGGGCAAGATACAAGCATATTTATTAGGTAACAAATAGTTAATAAGAACATCAGCTCCTAGGAGCTTGTGTTTTGGCAGCCGCAGGTATCACGTCACATTCACTTCTGTGTAAATTTTGTTTTTTTTCATGTGTAGAGAGTACTGTCGCTATCAATTTCTGATGCCATTTGATTAGTGGAGAGTCTAAAGATATTGTTATTGATAAAATTCCCAGAAAAAGAATCTTAACCATTCTGTATGGAAGTCAATAATATACTGGAACACCTACATATGTAGATGTATGCTTAAAATGTGGGATAAATATATTTGGAATGTGTTTCCATAGAGCTTGTAGCTAGCTAGGTTGCAACAGGTTTACAATTAAAATGTGAACACCTGTTTTCTTTTATACAATAACACCTTTATAATGATTGTAGAATTGTAATAAATTATCTTTACATGTACATATTACGAAATTTCATATTTTCCATTTCATAGTAATATTCAATGAAATATTGCAATATATCACAATACATTGTATTCATAGAAACTTGGTGGGTTTGACACAAAAAGACAAATGAGCATCAGTTTTAAGAAATTTTTGTAATTTGAAAATTACCGAAGTCCCAATACTAGTTAAAAACCCATTGCCAGACAATATTGCACTGTATTGGTATTGCAATGTTACTGCCTACCATTAATAATAGCTATAGATATAGCTGGTGAATTTACCACTATGATAAAAATGGTTTATGGAATCATTCTCCCTAACAGATTATTGTGATAACAACACTTTTGTAGTTGTATATGGAAGCAAATATTGAACTTTTGTTCAAAATTTTCCATTTATTATCATAGACTAGATTGTTTGTGTATCATCATGATCGTGCAAATTGAATTTAGTTAGTGAGTGAATCATATCCAAGAGTAACTTTGAGAGTCAATTATTAAATGTACTTTTTATGGTCTTGCTATAGCTACACCTAGTATGAATACTTGAACCCAGTGTACTACTAGCTACAGGTTTGACTTCCATCAATAGGCAACATCTGTATTGAAATGATGTGAATCTCGGGGCAACTGCCAGGTGTTGTAATTATAGTTTGTGTGTGTCATGCTTAAAATTGTATGTGTCGTCATGTATAAGAAAGGTATATATATATGTATAAAAGAATATGATAAAAGCCTGTGGTTATTAATTAGTAGTAGATATATGGCTGTTTGCTGTGTTCTTTAAGATCAGATTAAACAATCCATATGTAACACCACTACATAGTAGTTTGTGATTGAATATTAATCTAATTTGCTGTTATTCTTTGTTATGCTAAATATGATTAAAGACTGAAATTGTAGCATAGTAATAATAGTTTATATGAATTTAAATAACATTTGAATTTCCCTATTTCAGATTGAATGTATAAAGGATAAAGCCAGAGAGATAGCCGAACTTCCAGAAGAGGAATTTAACCAGCTGTTCCTCAACGCCAGGGATTACAGCTTGGCCCCAGAGCGCAAAATGACCCACGCCAACCGTGGAGGGTTTGGGGATGGGTCAGCTAGGGCCAGGCGTGGGGAGGACCTAAGTAGTGAAGATGATGATGAGTTTGAACTGAATGACAAATTTTCTGGTATCATACCGCCCAGTGTGGCTTTCAATAACTGTCTCAAAGACCACTGTGGGGAAGACATTGACTTGTATGGGAAACGCACAGACAATGATTCAGGGATTTACAATTCTAGCAAGGCCACCACCAGCATTGGGAGCTACTCTGATCAGGAGTATGAAAGTGATGGAGAAGAAAGACATGGAACATTTGATTATTTTCCTTCACAGCAGACAACAGTCAAGGTGCACAAGGCACGTGTTGGGTGTTCGCTAGACTATGACGAGGCTCATGAGGTGGAGGATTCTGATAAGGACTCGCCACGGTATGATGGTTCTAATGACTCGCCAAGGTATGACCACAGTCTTAGTAAGACAGATAACACAGATTTCGGCACAGAAATGAAAACATTCCGAACAGTTCGATCTGAAAGTGATGATTTCATGACTGATGATGACAGCGATAGTGAAAAATTTACTCCCCACAGAAAACTCTATCAGAGAAAATGTGCTGTTGGTCGTAACAAAAGTGGTGGAAATTACTACACACCAATGACCAGGGAAAGCAAAGAGGAGTATGGCTCTTTATCCACATCTACATTTTCATTTGACAGGAGTAAGAAAGCCCTCCACAACACAACTGCCTCCTCCCTCAGAACCAGTGGCGTTGACGAAAACATAAACTTTCCATTGACAAGTACATGCCCCAAATCGTACGGTAGCACTAGTAGCCATGGTGTGAAAGTAGAGACAACATATTCGCGTTATCACAAATCATCAAAAGACCTTGCTGATCGTGGTCCACCTTTTGGTCAAGGTCAGGACCAACTTGGTAAGGTTGGAAGTTCAATCAGCACACTGATCTCCAACTCCCAAAGTGCTCACATCTCTAACCTACCAGAAGGCAGACCGATTCTCTTGCCAGGACCTGACTTGGGAGTTGATAATGGGAAGAAACGCAAGAAAAAGAAAAAAGGATCAAAAGGTAATAATTCAAGTCACCTGCATCCTCGATATCAAGAGATTGCGCTCACTTTCACTCTACACCCTTGGAATATGTCATAGCAAAATTGAAGGCACGAAAATAGCTGTTTAATTGGTCTGGGTAAAAAAAAATGACCAATTGCTAGGCTGATACCTGTCCTTTGAAGATAACAAAGGAGAGACGCCCGACTTCAAAGCCTGTAATTATTACTGTTACGTGACTGCAAGATTCTTTTGATGTATATCAAAGGATCAAAATGGCGCACATGTACACTGGGCCTTCAATTTTGCTACGACATATTCCAGGGTTGTAAAGAGCGAAAGTGGGCTTGACCCCTAGATATCGAGGATGAGTCGCCTGCTGGTCTATACAATCGGAAAAAAAACTACAGGTTTTAATGCTGAAATTTTCCAAATTAAATGCACTAATGAGGAGATTGTTTTGTTTTCAGTTCATTTTAGATTACACAAATTGTTCAAGGTTTATTTTAGAGTATAAAATTTTTTGGCTGTGTTCATAAAGGAATTTATAGCTCCATAATACTTATGACTTCATGAGTGAAAGAGAATTGTTGGTGACTGTACTAATTTACAGCTTGGTCATCATGCTCTGGTTCTTATATACAGTATAACCTCGATGTATCGCCACCCGTTGTACCCCCAAACTCGCATACCGGCGTCAAATTTGTCAGAACCGATTTCCCCACACTTAAATGCACCCGTTGTACGGCCAAACTCGGGTACCGCCATGTCACAATGTTTTGAGAACAGTAGTTCAAATACCCATTTGTTGGCCCCCGACAACACTGCCAGACTCAATCAAAGAAATGTACCTATATCATTGATTTCATATATAGTTGACTCAGCCCTGGGGGTCAGTTTTAGATGTTGTAATTACGTATGGTATGTGTGTCTAATCAATTTATTTATAAATTTACATCTGAATACAATTTACCATATTACCTCTGTCGGTTATTTATTCATTCATTCACCTCATATGGCTTCTCACATGGCTTCTCAAAAATGGAAACAACTTGTTGAGATATTCAATTCATTTTACAATTAAACGTCGGACTGTGGATGATAATTCGACCAACAGATCAAAATTGATTTGATGATACCAACGGGACACAGCCATTGTGCTCATCATGCGAATACTGTATTGTTTTGCCACGTGACTCAGACTGTGACGTACCGCATCTGGCTATCACAGATAAAGGTGCGGATGTGGATTTCAGCGATCGCCGTGTTGCAACAAGTCCAAACGGACTTGATCCCGTTCCCGATTAATCTTTGACTATGAGACAGTTTATTGAAATTATCAGATGATTGCAACCCACTTGGGTATTATCGGACGATGACATTCTTGATGTGAAAAAATCTCGACGAGATGGACTCTTGACGATATCCACCTGGGTTGTGTGGCAGAGAAACAGGATATTGAGACAGTTCTTTACTTAGTCGAACACTTACACTTGACTTCAGAGTCTGACGTAAAGAAATAATGGCAGTTGCAGTAGAGAAATGCGAACATTGGCACCGCTATGCAGACATTACTTGACGATTGTAAATAAATCTGTAAATACGGCACGTAAAACTGACACTCTCGCCGCGGTACTTGTGAAGTGTAAATTCCAGATCTAAATCAATATTTCCAAACTAATTATTCTTTCAAAAACAGTGTGTATATTAAAAGTTGCATATATATATGTATACATGTATATTTGAGTTTTCATTGGTAAGTGTTGGATATTTGCCCCAAATCAAACAAGCTTTCACATCATCCACCTGTCATTTAACAGGCATAGGGACAACTTGTTGTGCCGCGAAAATGTCTTTGAACAGAAGGTGGCGGTATATCGTGGCTATGCTGTATACATCTGTTGCTGGTACATACATCCATGTATCTATTTGAATTCTTGTTTTGAGGCTTTTTTCAAATTTGTGATCTCGTCCTTGTAGGTCTATAAATGTATTGCTTTGGATTTCAGTTGTTTGTGTTGTTTTGCAATTGTACTTTAAGATTGTGCATGCAAATGAGGACATGCCAGATATCGCAATTTCAACAAAAAAGTTTATAGCCATATCAAAATGTTCAACAATTCTACCATTAGACTGCAGTATAGCAATGCTTTTCTTTGTTCAACCACCATGTTATGTTCCAGCAAACCATGTACATTCAATGCTCTACCAAGCCTCTTTGTGTTGCAGATGTCCACAAGTAAACATAAGCTTTGTACATGTGTATACATAGCTTGTGTGGACGAAGCTTTGTCAATTGAGGGAATATGCATGCATTTGTATATTTAATAATTTCCCCATACACCTATCACAAGGAGACAAACACGAACATATCGCAGCCTCCCAAAATACACACACATACACTACACGCATGCATCTTGCACACAGGGGAGGCCGTCCTTAAATGACCTTAGCTGTTAATAGGATGTTAAACAAAATCAAACAAACAAACAAAAACCTAGATATTAAACTGACAAGAAATAACAATTGGCTTTAGCCTCCAGATATTATGACATCAGCTGTGTGCCAGCTGGTGGTAATAAAAAAATGAGGTGTCAGATGAGAGATGTTTGCAAACATTGTACATACATGTGCAAATAATGAATAGAACAGGATAACTTTAATAATTGGGTGACTAGGTCACATGTTTTTTTAAGCACTGATCATGAATTGAGAAGATAGGCAAGTACATTCAATTCTATTTTCAAAAAGCAGAATAGGTAAAATAAGAAAACTATTTGTATTAAAATTTGGTGGAGTACATTGTATAATATAAATTTAAATTTAAAAAATATAAAATCAAAAAAAATATGTGTATTCCGACATTTCAAATGCTTTGAGAAAGTGTTCCTACAATGGTCTCCTCAGATCGGTCTCGTAGAAAAAATAGATGTACAGCAGCTTGCTCTGTTTTGTTGACATTTAGATGTTTCTCTGTGTAAATTGGTTGATACCATGATCACCATTAGTTTGACCAAATCTTAAGTAAAACTTCTATAAATAATCGAAAAGGAGTTTGCCTCCAACTCTCCTTGATAAAGCATTTACATATATTCAGCATTCATTTTATTTAGGATGTACAGTTATATTTTTGGACAATTGTCTCCCCTTAAGCATACATTTTAGTCAATAATCCCTTTCTGTTTATTGTCTATTAAAATTACCCTAATTAACACAACTACCTATACTAGTACATATATAGTAAACATGATACTCTTTCAAATTGAAAACATATAATATACATATATATACATGTCAGTGAATGTGGTGATTCATGATCAGGTAAACATTGTACTGACATGTACATTTTTCAATATCTGAAAAAGAGTGGACCCAATGCAAACAGACATAGTTTTACTGCTAATCCTGGGGAAGTGTGTTTGCTACTTAAAGCATAACTAGACAATCCTGATTTGATGGACTGTACAGACCGGTTGCTAACCAGTGACTTACCTGTATTCAGTGCGTGGTCGACACAGAAAAGGTGACTACATTCACGTTCGGGTATTAGAGCTATTTTCTGTTTAAATATATATATGTAGTATTGAAGCATGAACAGGGCTGATTATTTGGAACTCAAAAAAATAGAAAATCAGTTGTAAATGGCCTGGAATCAAACTGATGTGAAAGGGCTAGAATTTATAGGCATTTCTTGATGTTCCACATTCAACTGAAAGTAATTTGAGAATATATTTTTTATATATATATATATCCATCAGGTATCCAGTGTATGGTGTATATTACATTGGTAAAGAACTTTGTAGTAGCCATGATTGATGTACATGTATGGATCACTAGCCTGGTTTCCTGGCTATTTAGATGATATATCTTATTTCAGGTTAATATATGTTAATTCAGCCCCAGCTTTAAATTGTGTATATTGTATTACTTGTTAAAATGGTATAGCTTTCATCATTCACAACAAATTAAACAATTTAGAACACCTGAAACGGTGCTTTTTACATTGGTGTCCTGTTTTACCAGAATCAGATGTAACATATCAATTGTTGGCGCAAAGAATTGTTCATATATGAAAAAAGAAATTATGCACACTTTAAAGCTTAATTATCAGACCAGGAGGGGTTAGGCCAAGAAATATGTATGCTTTGTTGTGCAGCATCTAACCTCAGTCCATCTTCAACATTCCTTCAAAAGACTACTTGTCCATTTAATCAAAAGTTATTTTGACTTTATAAAGTTTTAAAGGTCATCTGTTGAACAAGAGGATTCATTGTTGTTCAAATTAAGGGTGATGCAGCACCTCCCCCTCCCAATCTGGGCCAAAGGACAGACCAAAAAACAAAAGTAGGTGTCTTTTTCACTTTAGGAAATAAACCTCTGCCCTGGTCTAACCAAGATCTGTAAGTTTTGTTTTTAAACTTCTTTGCATAATAGCAACTTACACCAGGCCAATAGTTTTTCCATATTTGATATTCATGAATAACGCTCGTTATTTCCCAAACACCTGATGTAATATTTTTGGTTGATTCAAACATTTTAATGAAGGAGAATAACATGACCACTCTTTGATAATTTAATCTTGTGGTACTACGTTAAAGCTATACCTTATGATTGCAACCCAAAGTGTTGCTACAAAGTAAGGTGCTACAAAGTAAGGTGCTATGAATGGCCTACATGACTAGACTCGAGGTGTATAGACCCACCATCTCTCAGCTTGTGTGCACATCACTTCCTGTACAGATCTACAACAGGAAGTTTATATTTCTGGTTAGTTTGCTCATGGTTGTACACAGAGTTACATGTCCCTGAAGGTTTTAATAACCTTTTTGCTACCATAGATATGTAACAAAGTGTCCTTGCCCTATAGTTATTTTCAATCGTATAAATTTTCATGCATCACTTTTGAGGCAGCACATAACAAGGGTATAAAATACAAGAGATAAAGCCTAAAGGCATATATCTAGATTGAGTAGGTGTGCAGCTCCAGCCTGTGTTGGAGATTTGACAATTATCCAAGTA